AGAGTGAACCTCAGGAAGTTAATAATGATGAAAATGTTGTTATTAAGACTTTAATTAATGATTATACCACCCAAGAACATAAGTTTGTAGTTAATGTTACTTATTCACACCTTAATTTACGATTCAAACATTTTAAAAATTCTATCCGGCCAAAAGAATCTATATTATTTGTCGTTGGTGAAATAGAAATTATTCAAGATAAATTGTATGTTTACGCGAGGGATATCAATTATGTTGGTACACATTTATCAGCTAAAAAGCAATTATCCGAGCCTAGTAATTCGCAGTTAGCAGTAGCATCACCTAAGTTAATTCGTTCTAAGCTTTTGGCTACACATCGTAATATTATTGGGGAATCTGAAAAGGTTTCTGATGGTTTGAACTTAACAAAACCTGTAGATTCTGATGAAATCGATTTAAATCAATCAGATGTGTTAACATCTAATCCTAGGTCATCAAAACGTCTCAAAACAAAAAAGGTGAATGAACTCGCTAGAGATTTGTTGGGAATTGATGATTTGGAATTGGCAAAGTTTAGTTTTACTGGAGATGAATTGCAAGTGAATCAAAATATAGTTGATGATCGTGATAAAAAATCTGATAAGTCTGATGATGAGGTAAATGTTAATAAGATATCAGCAGAGAATAATGAATATGAAAAGGGTAATGGTTCTAGTTCTGCAAAGGGAATTCGTAATCGTGGAATGGGAAGTAAAAATAGAGGGCGTAGTACACGTAAACTAAGAAAACCACGTAGTACAACATCTACTAAATCTGAAGTACATGTCGTGAGTGATGACAATCATGATGAAGAATAAATATACTGTGCCGATATTTTAATGTTTGGGTCAGGGCATATATATTTTTTTATTTCAGAATATAAATAAATTTTATTTTTTTTTGTTATGAAATATTTATCTTTTGGGGGCTTTTACTTGAATGAATTGTCAATCAATCTAGCTTTTTCTTAATGATACGAAATTGTTAATTTATTCAGCTTGTTTTTGTCTTTTACAAAAATAAAGGTTTTTAGCTTTATTTGATTAATTAATCGAAATAAATTTATTTTGTTGTGCTTTCTTTGACACTCACCTGAAACTGCAATTTCATGTGCTGTAAATTAAATATTTTCGCATATTAGTAATTTAATTTTAATGTGTAATTCAGATGTTCGAAATTACAAATTCAGTTAGATACTAATTTTATATAGTAACTACCATTCAAAACGTTCAAATACACAGCTTCTCGCTTAAATTTTTCCGATTTCGATCAATTCGCCAACAATCATTTCACCAAACGCTCATTTAGCCGATATTGCATAGGGTTAGGATTAATCATTTGATTAGTTGCAGGTATAAATTTTACTAAATTTCACCTGCTAAATGAGCTGTCAGTGAAGTGATTGCCAGTGAAATAATATGGATCCAAATTTCTCACAGTCATAATAAAATTTCGCACAGACATAATAATTCAGTAATTATGTCATAATAGTATAGAATACAGTAATTTAGTAATTATGTCATAATTGCATAGCGATAACCCGATTTATCAAATTACCTGAATATCACACTTGTAATGACCAATCAAGAACGTTCAAATAGCTTCTCGCTTAAATTTCTTCGGTTCCGATCAATTCGCTGACAATCATTTCACTGAACGCTCATTTAGCCGATATCACATAGGGTTAGGATTAAGCATTTGATTAGTTGCGGGTATATATTTTTACTAACTTTCACCTGCTAAATGGGCT